ACATAAAAAAGCAATTATCATTCTGTTGCCAGCAGTGTTCCATTGACCAGGAGGACAAAATACCAATATTGCACATCCTTTGCTATATTGTTATGGAACTTAGTCTAATCTCTTTTAATCAATGATGCCTTATTATTTCCTTTTCCCCTATAGATGCTGGTATATTACAACAAATAAAACATACAATAAATTTGTGTACATGTCTATTTTCACTGTCTGCAAAGTAATATTTTGCCTTCAGATATATTTTAAAGAGGAAGTTTGTTAGTTTTAGTACATTCTTCATTATAGGAAGCTATAATTGTCCAAAAGGCTTACAATAGTTTTTATACTCAAACAATTGTATCTGAACAACTAATTTTCCAGTATTCTCAATTGAAGGCCCTCTATAAACACATCTGCTCTATGTTACAGCGGAGATATTTTTCTGCATAATTATGTATTATTCGTGCCATTTTTATGAAATGTGTGTGCATTAAAATGCTAGTCTCTGTTATTAAAAACATTTCAAAGGGCTGGGGCATGATAGAATTTTATCTTATCTAGTTTGTTTAATGCATGCCATCTTTGTGAATATTGCTTCAATATTTTTTGCTGGTTGGTGTCTGTATATTTGCCACTTTGCTGTCTAGTTTTTAAAATGGTCATTGAATTTGTCACAGCATAAAACATTAAAACATCATTTGAGAAAAATTATTAAATTCAACCAAGGATCCAAGGAGGGTTCTAAACTCAAAATTTTGTCGAATGCATAATGGTCTTTTTGCAGTGAACGCCGTCAGTATATCCGCTGATTGGATTAGCTGGTTCACTAAATGGCCATAATGAAAAAATGGAAAAATATATCTGGTTATTATCTTACTAATCAGAAGGCCATGTGTTCGTAAATCATGTATCAACAGATTTTATTAAAATGCCCTGCCAAGTTAGCGATATCCTTTTTGGGGTGTTTTGTTCTTCTGACATTGTTTCTTCGGGGAAATAATACTTGGACCCGGAGTCTGGGAGCGGTCTCGTCTTGCTCGTTACACCGACCACTCTTGAATGAATTCTGTGGCGTGCTGGCAGTTACTGTCATGTAAGAAAGCAATCAACATTTTTACATGGAACTCGGGGTGCACGTCAACTCGGCAATTAGTGTAAGCAAATCTAGATAAAATAAATTTGATAAAACGATGTCTAATCTATCTTTCCACCTCAGTATTTGATGATAACGTTGCGTGACAGTTTTGTTTAGTTGCCATTTCACAAGAAAGAAAATTTGACTGACGTGCACATTTCATGTATCATGTATTTGTATAATTTTGACTTGCTTTGGTGACTTAGTTTATACTGCTGAGTCCTCGAATATGAAAAGAAAATCGACGGTAATTATGAAGTGCTATTTCTGATAGTTTTAAAATAATTTTGCAAATGCTACATAAAGAATGTACGTCAGTGACATGACCAAAGGAACAAATGCATCTCGTCTGTGGGAGACTTTGTGGTCATACCAAGAGCAGTGGCGTGTTGTTTTAACATTTCATTTGGTATCGCATATGTGAAAACGAGATCCAAATATTTGTAACTAAAAAAGGCATCATCACAGTCCGGATACATTCAATACAAAACAGTTACTCATTATTACGTATGTAAACTGTCCCACGGTGTAAAAGATGAACAAGAGGTTGGTGTACAAAAAGGAACAGTGTTAAATTTGTAAGGAACCCAATGGCTTCGTCTTAAAAACTGGCAATAAATTGTTTGGAGAGAGAAATTGATCAGAGTAAAAGTGGTGTGGAGAAGTAATGTAAGCGGCGAAAAAACATGAACCTTGCTACATGAACGGCGTTTTCAGATGTTAAAAGTAAAGTTTGCTTGTGTACTGCACTCCACATGCGTCTCAGTGCGGTTTACATTACATGCCTGGTCATCTGTGGCACTGATACAGTCTGGGCTTCTCATCTCCCAGTCTCTGTCTGGAAGGGGTTCGGTTTTCTTTTCTGCAATATTATATACTTATCCTGATATTGGTGCAATAGAAATGGACACTTAAAGCGTAAACACTCCCTTTTTTGTTGCTTTATCCACCACACACAGTTGTGCACGCTTGGAACCCGCGCTTTTATCAGCCTCTATGTCTCCCCATTAACCCAAGCGAAAGGATAAGTAAAGGACAAACACAAATATGGTGTTCGAAATATGGCCGATAGCGGCCGCTTTTATTGAAAGGTCCCTCTAGTAAAAGAATAGTGTTAGTTATTATATAGCATTAGATAATGTTAAATCAATTAAAATTACGTAATGTTATAGCATAAAAAATAAATATAAAAACAGACAGTGCACTTATTTTCATTTGTGGGGTTGCAAAGCAAACTTCCTTTTATTCAGCTGCTTTGCAAATTTGTGTGCGAAAGTGATCTGTTTAAGATGTAATTCTGTAACCAAGTAAGATAATGGTGTGGATAACAAAAGGATGTGATTTGTACCAGTGATTGGTTTTGCATTTTTAGTAGGTATGAGCCCTTAATTTTGATGTTCCATTAGATAAGGCATTTCAAGAAATATCCTGGAACCGACGTGGTATTTATTTGGTGCAATTAAATAGGCGTTAAAACGGTGTTCATAGTATTTTTTTCTAAGAATGAAATGAAAAATATGTATAAGCATAAGAAAACTCCCCTTTTGTTCTCTACATGATTGTAAGTCCATTTAGAGTATTTATTGTCCCTTTTAGATGGATGTTATTAATGTATAGGTTTTGATTTTTTTCGCAGACACATTTATGCATTTGCATTGATGAAAATGGGTATGATTTTTTAAAAGTAACAACTAAGTAATCAGGGTTCTGGTGGGTAACAATATACATTATTAATCACGCTAATTGCTGTGTAATTTCTATAAGTGAAAAGAAACAGCTTTTTGGAAATGACCTCTGTGTGTGTTGGGGGGGGGGGTGTCGAACCTTATCAAACAAACACGATTCAGAGCTGGACGGATCTATGGGGGCGTGCATTTACACAAGGCCCCTTGCTGAAAGTAGTAGTAGTGCAGGGGCGGATTCAGAGATATCTTCTGACAGTCTTCCAAATTATCTTTGTTGTTCCATTCTTCATTTTTGACCGTCTTCCGACGGAACAATTAGACACCCTTCAATGTAAACTTGAAAATCTGACCGTCTTCTGGAAGACCCAGAAGACGGCCTAAATCCGCCCCTGTAGTGGATGAAAAAAGTAAAGGCCGCTGACATTTTCCGTGTTGCCTGCGTCTCCTTGTCATGGAAACAATTAACAATGTCTGATAATAAGAACTTGAAGGGCTATGTGACGCGGGTGGTTCATGTTGATAGACCGAACATTATTCGTGACAGTGGTTGCCTTTCATCCTTACATCCTTGGCGTGAATAGTGGTTTAAAAATGCATCACATATCATTGGATTGTTTAGGGATTATTAACCAAATGCATCGTTCAGCTGCCGTAACTGGTTCTCAAGTCTTTGGTGTACTTCCTTTTAATTTTATACCGCTCAACGCGAAGACCCCGTTAAAATGCCTTACAGCTCGTTTTCTTCCTATATAACATAGCAAATCGTGTTCGACTAGCAGTCAACATGCATCATTTGTAAATAAGGGAAAGCAACGTTTGTATTCTAAATATATGAGTAATCTTGAAAAAATTAACTATATTTATAACTACTATATTCTTTAAAATAATTAACTGGTATTACTCAAAGTTTTACCCAGTCTTTAGTTTGCCTTTTCATCACCAATCTGAAAGAGGTAAGAATTTTATGGTTTTATGGAAACTTGTTTGAAGATTCCGCAATCGTGATTAGCATCATTTTGGATGAACCGCATCTCAAAGCACATGGCTTTGCTATTGCTATCAAGTCCTTAATGGCACGATGTCTTTCACGCAACATGATGGATTAAAACCAATAAAGGGATGGCTAACAGGTGTTTTGAACCGTTAACAAGGATAATGTGCATAATATGATATGGTATACCGAGTAATACACGTTAAGTGACATAATAAGTTCCCTGACATCAAATGACACCGTCCTCTAAACGCTGATGGATGTTTCCAGACCGTTTCCTTTTCGCGTGATTCGATGGATGATAAAGCTAATGTCAGTAATGTCAGTAAGGAGGTTTGCCTTGTATGCAGAATTCTGGAAAATTCATCAGGGATATGTCTCATGCACTAGCTTCCAATTTGATGAGTAAATAATGGGCTAGCATGCTAGTTGAATATGATCGCCTTTGGTTTTGGGCACATCAGATGGAGGGATAGACTTTTAAGTATCTATACCCGCAAAGCAAAATCAATTCAAAACTAAGATCCGACCATTTTATGTTGGATACTAGGTCAAAAGCGCTTCATGCACGGAATCACAGATGACAAAAGAAAAAGATTAATTTTACAGATTTATCTTTGATCATGGCATCTTGTTATCTTAAACGCCCCGATTTAGGAATGTTACATAAATACTTGCATGATAGAGTTTATGCTTTATAACGACTCTTTATAAAGAAAACAATTATTAAATAAAATTACAGACAAGAACTCAGTTCTTATTTGCTTCACTGATCAGTTTTATTTCCCCTGTTAGAATGGCAAACACCTGGAGTTGATTTTGACAAACGAATTGACATTCATAATATTGATTTCAGAAGATGGACTCGAAGACCATAAAGTTATGTGAATTAAAAGTGATGTTAACGTGATTCCACGCTTTTTAACTCGAAACAGTTCCTCGCAGAAGAATGATCAGTGTTTTGTAATAATTGCTTCATCCCTTTTAGTCGTATTTTGTAAACCTTCTGGTCTAACATGCGACCACGTACGGAGATACAAAATAAATAACTCTCTACGTCCCAGTTTCTTGCGCCTCCTAAAGCTATTAGGAGAACCGTTACTCCAAAGTAGTAACACATGGATTGACGGAGGCTCATTAATTCAAAATAAGACGCTAGTAACTGGGCACTTTTTATGTAAGATATGAAAATAAGTAACATGTATGACATGATTTTTTTAATAAATAATAAATAAGTAGCCTGTATACTGGCAATGTTACCACATGACGCCCTGTACAATCAATAAATGCAAAGGTATATATCAGCATGTCTCACAGACGGATGCTTTAAAAACCGTCTTTACATAACAAGTTACAAAAATAATCATTATGTCTAATATTTGATCAACTTTACCACAACGCAGCGCCCCTAGCAGACACGATTGGACTGTTTTTGGAAAATAAAACCGAATGTTTTTGAATAAGCTAATATCAACAGCAGCAACTGTGCTCTCCATATCATGGAAAGTTAGTGTTACAACGAAAATATAAAGCTTCCCTCGATACAAAATTTGACATGACTATTTCCATTTTATGCTACCGGATCTCTGCCTTGAAAGCAGTTTGTTGGACTCAACTATAGCTTCGTCAGTGCGCGTGCGTGAAGAAACCATGACGTAGACAGCCGGCTGTCGTCTGGTGGTGGTGGTGGTGGTGGTGTAGCAGTGAAGTGGGGCAACAATTTTCACAACGGCGTTCTACTGCGTCTATGGTCTAAACTGTAAAGAAAAGGAAAAACCATTAGTTTCCAATATAAAAATTCCATGTAATATTCAAACATCCGGTGGTTTTCATGAGTATAATTGCTTCAATTACAACGGCATCACATTGGGCAATTTTAATAGAACTAGGCCCAAAATATGTTCTTGAAATCGTAGATTCATGACTGTTTAACAACGAAAAAGAACACAACAGTAGAGTTATTACTTGTGATTTTGTTAACAAGATATCTTCTAAAATAAGGTCCTTACTACATAGAACAATCCTGACGTCGTGTCTTTTCCGAATGCGTTCTTGGCTTCACACTTGTATCCGCCCATATGGTTTTCAAAATTGACATTTCTAATGAGCAGATCACCGTTTGGTAGCACCTACAACATGGAAAGGTCATGTATGTATATTACTATTCATTATTTAATGAAGACATTGTATTTTATATTCAGATAAATTGTCTTTAGAAGAGAAGATAAAGAATATAATATAGGCCTACTTAAAAGTATATATATATATATATCTTACTAAAACGACCACCTGATCTTACTGGTAAAAAGCGTTCCTTACCTCATATTCATCTCTTTTGCCCTCAATAACTTCCCCGTCCTCCTTGAACCACGTGTAATGTAGTGGGCGGGCCCCAGTGGCTCGGCAATACAACTGGACGTCTGCGCCCGCCAGTTCTGCCCGGTCGGATGTCCACATAACGATTCTGGCGGGTTCCTGTGAGCCTGAAAGATCACACCTCTTAATTTAAGGCCAATGATTATGAAATTGTGTTTTAAGGCCTACTGTACAACTGCATAAGTAAAAAGATGATTCAGAGTAAGAATTAATTGCCTCCTTCTTAAAGTTAAATGAAGGGTTTCAAGCTTGTTAATTTGCATTTGAAAAATTTGTTCCTAATTCTAAATACCTACAGCAGCAAAATCAATAATGCTTTTTCTCTCGGCTACAAAATTCAAACACTTTATTGGAAGTTCATAAAATGTATTCACCTTGTTTCTTGGCTCGGCTAAGGCACTTGCCGCTGATTTTACTTGGCATTTTTTCATCTAGAAATGAAATGGTGAGGTGATTACTGGGTCTTCTAGGTTAAGTTTGAGACAAAAATTGATATGTTGCAAAATTCATGTGTCACTTTTTATTGATTTGTTTTCTATTTATGTTATCATTATAATCATAACTATATCTGCTAGTGTTGCATGACCAATGACAGTCACGTTTTTTGTCACATAAAACAATCATCTTTGAATTTGCAAACTCGTACAGAAATCACACTGCTTTTCTTGGATTTATATTTTTGACCAAGTAATTAAGTCATTCATATTTACTTACTGAAAATAACTTCTGAATCGGTGGTAATAATTCTAGTTGGCGTCTCAGCGACGCAGGTATACGTGCCCTCAGAGGCTCGGGAAGCGCAGTCGATGACGAGCTCCGACTTAGTGTTTCCGATTTGGACAGGGCCTCTGTTGTGACGCTCGTATGTCGTTGTCTCGTCAGCAGAGTCGTGTGGTATTCCCTGAAAAGAACACATGGGTTATTTTCAAAAAGAAATTGGCATAAACGCTAACTTCGATTTGAATCTGAAAAAGGCAGTTTTTCAGGAGAGCTTCAGTGGTTAAAGAACAGCTCAATGTTATCTGAATTCGAAATCTACAAAACCCACGGGAAAAGCGATAACGTATGGGTGAATAATAACGTCCCGTCTACATGTACTGTGATAAAATAGTGATTTTTCCAATTTTAATGGGTTGCTTGGTTTAATTTTGGTGTCAATTTGCAGAGTGTAAACTACTGAATATATTCTTCCAGGACCCGGGTCAGGTGTATCGCAGTGTGTGACCTAGGGAGCTAGAGAAGGGCAGTGGTGCAGCGGTTTGTTTACAAATTTAGGGGTACACGTGTTTGACTGCTGCGGGTAAGAACATTCGGTTGCCAGGGTATATTTTTCGTGCAACAAAAGTTCATTTAAGGGTGGCTGCTGTTCGTGGGGAAATGAATGTTTCACCAAAGTATTGTTCAGGCAGTTTTGCAGGCCTTCAATGTGGAATTATAGGACTGTTTATGCCCTAGAACATCTAACAATTACTGGCAAACTAAAGATTTAAGAGGAAGAGATGTGAACTTTCTCAAACAGCCTCAGCCTAGGGGTGGAAGTTAACACCAATGAGAGAATCAGAAATGTCAAGAAAAAGAACTACACAGAACCATTGCCGTCAACGTTCTGAAACAACAGAGCACCTGGAAAGAGAGGGGTGGTTAAAAGATAAAATCTACGGCAGAGGAAAGCGTGGTTTACACAAAGAGAGCTGTCGCCTGTGTGATCGATCCCACGGAGACTAGGTGGACGCTTATTTATGAGTTAAGCGATAACGAAAATAGAACCGTTTCAATAAAACATATCGTTAGAATGTGTAGGCTATTCGATTATGTTGCAACAATGTGATATCTATTAGCACCATCCGCTTTCTAGTCACTTGCTAATTAATCATATCTATATCGATCTATTCTTATCAGCGTTGAGCCATGCAACGAATGATACAAAATGTACGTAAGATTGTAATTGTCATGGAGGTATTCATATATGTACCTCATATCCATTTAAAACCAATTTGCACACTTACAACTGTTAACAGTTGGTTTGCGCTATCTTGGAAATAGCAACCGTTACCTTTGTACGTATAGGTAAATGTATAAATTCTGAATCTCGCTTCGCAAAATGTTTTAGTCAGGGTTGCGAGTGCCTGGGACAGTTCAAAAGGCTCTTGAGACAAATGACTAGCTATAAAAGGAATCATAGCTTTGCAATGGCTCACAAGTCTGAAGTCACCTAATTTTGGCCTCACAAGTCGTAATAAAGTCATATTCCAAGTCGCTTAAATTGCGGTAGCGGCTAGTCGCACGTTTCACTTGTTAGTGTTTCAGATAGAGGTTGGTTTGAGGTTTGGTGTAAACGCTAATTCGTGATGAGAGCAGAGAAGAGCCGAGACTTGTGAAAATTACAAAAAAAATCGTGATCGCCGTGGACGTGGAAATGTCGCAACACTGTGTAAATGGAGCATTAATGTAGACTGCGTAAAATGTAATCTGAGTCAAAGTAAACCACTGTTTTCAGACTAACATTCGATTGGGGCCTTGACATATTAATAATATGCCTTAACTCTACCACTCTCTATTTAACTCCTTTTCATAGTTACCTGTTTTATCCGCTCTCCATTGCGCAGCCAGTGTATCGTTGGTGGAGGGTTGCCGCCGGCCTCACACATCAACACAGTGCTACTGCCTGGACCAACCTCTACGCTGGCTGGAGGGATGACTTCTTTAAAAAATAGGTCTCTATAGACTGAAATGTCAAATAATTTTTTTTTCATATTTTTCATTTCTTTTTTTTCCCTGAAGACCTAAAGCTGTTATCAAAATATCTGATCAAAGTAAAAATCTTTTTAAAAATGTGTTTTGTGAATGGCGTAAAATTACGCATTAAAAGAGAAAAAAAAAGCAGAAGTTACTGAGAATTATATTTAAGAAAACCTTGGGCTTATGCAAAGCCTTATTAATAAAGATTAATGCCTCAAAGTGCGTGATTGACAAGTGTTCATTATATTAAGTAGTCTTTAGGTTGTAGTTTTGCTTTGTGTATGACAAACTTGCCAAATCGAGCTTAAAATCGTGACTGCCATATCCATGACGTTGACTTATTTCTTACACAGAATATATTTGTCTTGCATGTCAAAGACGGGTGTGCCTTCCAATAGAACGCCTGTCACGAAATATATTTAACCATGACATGGACATTCATTTAGAAAAAAAAATCAAATGTTTTAACAGTGTATCGAGTTTATCGTTGAAAGTCGTTTTCAACTTTGTGTTGTTGATAGTTAAGTGAATTTGTTAATCTGCATAGCTTGATCCTAGGCGATTAATGCCAACCTAATTTTAATAATGATTTCTAGATCTGTACTCTGTTTAAGGTCTAATACCGCAGTATGTTTAATCGCAAAGATACTTAACTGAAGGTGCCTATTTTAGCCCAGGGGTATGGGCGGTTTGATAAATACGCAAACAAAGTACCTCCCCGGAAAGTTTTGAACAACACTGCTAACTCTCATCTGTGGAAAAAATACATCGTAATCCCTAGAGCATTGAAGTACATTTGTCGATTTACTGCAAAGACTTATTGCTACTATTTGCTACTATTTCCAAAGCTCTGCTATGGCAAAAGCAGTGCATTGTTATTCGTGTGATTGTTTTAACTGCGTAAAGCTGAATAGTTTATCGAGATTGCTAAACTCTTACCCCAATACGTTACCATCGTTAACAGAAATCTTTTGTGCGATTCATATAAAGGAAAGACTTCGAACGCCGTTTTTCAGTCCTTTAAAACAATTTATCGGTGAAGACACAATATTAAGTATGCTAACTTTTAACCTTACTTTCACAATTTTACTGGAAGTCTTTATTGGCATGTATAACTTCCGTGTTTTTATTTTAAGGTCGAAGACAAAGTATTGTAAATCGCATTATGTGATCTGAACATTATGTGATCAGGGACACCAGCTCACAACTTACTCCAATATTTGCATTGTAAACAGAGACAGCTACGGCCGTTGTGAAACCATCGATTAACACGAAGATCAAATGGTAACATTATATAGTCATACTCGTGTGACATTTGATTTGACCACACTGTTGGAGAGATTTTCTCCGTTCTTTGGTGTATTAATAATTTAGCATATTATTCATTTTACATCTAAATAAAGCTCTGCTTGTATGAGAGTGCATCTTTGTGGAAAGTTCAGTCCCCGTTGGTTCAAATATGAATGCTTTAGACTTGCTATACATGAAGGTGAAAGGTAGTCTCAAATAATGTATTTCCTTTTTCTTTTCTTTGTTGCAACCACCATGTCTAATATTCTTGCATATATATCCGAAAGGATGTCTAGTGAGCTAGGTTAGCAGTGAAGTCTCCAAGCAAATCTTACCGGCTATTAAATCTCTATCATATACACAAGATTAATCTTAGTGATCTGCGTATACCGTAGATATCTCTTATCACTTAACGACGCTTTCTCGCCAACTACTCGGAAGCGTCGATTCTTAAGGCGCATTCTCATATCTGTACCGCAAGAATGATGCATTTGACATGCTTTATTACCTTTTAATGCTGCTTTGCTTCTTTTCATGTATGGATCTTCGAATCGCTGCAAAATACGAATTGGATACAGGTAAAACACAAAAGAAAGAGACTGGTTTGGCGTATAAGAGAGTATTGCGTTATTAAGAAAATATAAACTAATTCTATGACGAAACATGGCAAAACCTTTACAATTTTCGAAAATCTATGTGCAGTAATCATTTTCTCTATTTGCTAAGCTAGTTTCCCAGAAGATGTCATTCAAAGTAACAGTTAAGCTTGCAACGTATATATTGCAAATGAGGGAGCTGTTTCAAGAGACCAACGCGAGTTGAATGTTTTGAGAAGAAAATACAATAAAATATTATTTGGTACATACATAAATTTGGTCGAGTAAGAAGGAGGTACATACGACAATTAGTGCCGAAGAAAAATATGCTTGGCATTTGAGTAATAACAATGTCTGTGCTTTTATTATCCACGGTTGCTAAATTTAAACCCAGACAACATCCTAAACAGATTATCTTGTAGGTTTGTGTACGGTATTTACAAGGATATTGCCAAAAAATACTTGTCATAGGTGAAAAGGTTTTAAAAAGGAGTAGTACGGACGTGAGGCGGGCACGTGCGGCTAATTATGAAACGTAACTTGATTTTATCGGAGTAAGGTGCACGCTTTAGAGATCTGAGCAAGAACACACAGCTTGCAGAAAGCAGACAAATTGAAAAATCATGATCCTTTGACGTTATACTACTTCGGTATTTTGTACGCAAGGTTATAACTATGTCGGGACTCGAGGAGGTAAATTTTTTTCAAGAAAAATGCCGAATTTTTTGCCCGCTTCTCTGTTATCTTTTACGAGTTGAAAGGAGCCTCTGGAATATTTACGGAATAATAAAATTGTTTCAGTGCTTTTTGCCGCTTTGAGATGAATGTTTAACCTAGAACCGGGTCTGTTATCGATCAGTGTGTAACACCAATGGAAACTCAGAGAACAGAAACTGAAAGGTTGTTTTATCGCTTTAGTTACTTTGTTGACTCAACTGATGCAGTGTTTCTCAACTTCAAAGCAAAAAGTTCCCACTTCCGTGGTTACGTTCTGTTTATTTTCTCCCACCTTCACCTCAACATTTATGCCTATTAGCCCCATTTTCCGTATATTATCCCATACATGCATTACGATAGAGTGGGCATGGTGCGTATATTATTTTCTGCGTTTTTTTTTTTTTTTTGATTAAAAAAATCAAAACCCACCGCGAGCAGGTCATTGCCCTTTCAAGCGTAATGTCAACTCCTACTGATCAAGCAAAAAATTATCTCGACTTAACGGCCTCCAATTTTTACCGTTGAACAAAATGATGCATGTAGTCAATGCTTATTGCATATTATTGAGTGTTTACTTTTGATGGCTGGCTGTAAACCGATCAATGATTGCATCTAGACACCACCCGATTGATTTAAGTGATTTTATTTGTAAATCAACCAAGGTGGGGAAGCTAGGCAGGGGAAATGTTAATGTCCCTAAATTTGCACGTATTCAATTAAATTTTCTAAAAAAATAATAATGATTGGAAACTAATATTTTACATTTTTGTTCTGTAATGCCAAAAAAGTTATCTTTTGCCACACATAACATTCCTACTTATGAAAGCATCGAAAATACTATATTTCCACTGTTACAGTTTATATAATTTCCGATCTATTGCCCAACTTCGTCCCTTATCTAATAACTGCTAATCAGCGTGCCCTTTCACTTTGTATTCGAGACGGATGTAGGCGCGGCCTTTTCCATTGTCCTCGCGCTATTACTTAAACAACTGGTTTTACGCTGTAAATTCTGACGCAATGACACCAGTGGCGACGTAGACCACTAGACCCTCAGACGTAGGTGTAATAAAGGTCCCACATTGCCAATGCCTATATTAATGGGGTTTTTTATCATTTGGTTTAAGCACCGACCAGTCACGGACTCAAAACATCAATCGACCATAAAATAGACCTCGGATGCGGCATTTTGTAAGACATAAAGGGTACATCAAAAGAAAGAAGAATAAAAACACCGAAAAGATCTATTCCAGTATGAAATTTTAAAAATACTGTACATCATTTAGTAACCAATATGTTGGCAAAATGACACAGATGAGAATTTTAAACAAATTTTGAGGAACTAGCGCAATTTGCCATGATTATAGCCAAAAGGTCAGTTATGGTGTATTTGTCGAATAGAATATTTGTTCGTATATGCACTTGAAGGTTGAGATAGGCCTACCGCCAAGCGATATAGGCGATCATAGTTTATTCCCAAAGAGTGTGTGACGACATTAGTTACTCGCTAAGGTAGATCAAGCGTTAATTTGAACTGACTTTTTATGAGATTATCTTTCATTTATAGGTGAAAGTTGAATTCCACAAGTCCAATAGGGATTGGGTCAGCTCTGTCATTCAGGGAAAATTGCGTTATTGTGTTTCTGCATTTGTCCATTGTCAGTTTCCGAATTGGCACTTTATCCCCATGTATATTAGGGAGTAGTACATAATGACGAAACGGTTACAAAAGCAGCGGGTAGACGATGGAATCATGAGTGTGAATTATTGAAATTTGTTCTTCACAGTTAGTTCTTCCAGAAAATATGGGCCTACGTGTTTGCTTTCTGTACGTAAATGTTTACTGTATGTATCCGTTTGAGGAACTCACCTTCAGTGACATGGCTCGTGCCAAGCCTGCGCACAGTAGCAGCACCAAGGAAAATACTGTCGTTATTTGTTCTAACTGCATGTCAATCTGAAATAAAACAGACACGGTTTAATCCATTGATCGTTACGTCTGTGGCAAACTAACTGAATTTTGTAAACGTAAACCTCTCTTTTACAACGATTCGTGCAACTAGGAATGGCAGCTAAATCTAATCATTGTATAAGATTGTCGTTTAGGCACGTTGCGGTACGGTAGTTTAATTTTATTGGCCAACAGACTCGCCACATTGACTATTAGGGTCAATACAATGAATCTAACGATTTTGTCTACCCTAAATGTTCGGTTAAATGGTCGACGGCTGGCCTGTCAAATGGTACTTAAAGATTAAAAAAATAGTCAACATTAAATTATGAAAAATAAAATGAATTCAAATGATTAAGCCAATGGGAATATTACTTAGGGAAAAACGGTGCACAATCACCTCTGTATCAGCGTTACCGCATTGTGGAATGTTGATTCAGTACAATCGCGCACGCTTGCTCGTACCGTTATTTAATCACATTTGCTTCTAGTACAGCACTCCACGCCATATCAACACATTTAGAAAAAAGAGCCTGCTTTGATAATCTGTATGATATGTTTCAACATCTGTTAAGGTATGTCTGTGTATTGGAATCACCGGGGTGATTTTCACACCTGAGTGGGCAGATTTTGCCCTTCAGTTATTTATTAATCCTTTACCGATAACAGTTTCATAACCCATTCACCAGAAGGTAATGGATTCTTCAATATATAATGATACCCTCTTTGCCTCCTATCTTTTCTTTGCTTGTCTTCTTATTACCATTTTCCTCCTCCACTCTGTTATAGGCCTATGTTGTATTTTTTTAAAGAGCAAATGCAAATAGTTTTCCTATTTGTATATATGTTTACTCTCGATACACATAGTTTATCGAATACAATGAAATGGAAATTCATTTGTATCTGTCGAACATAAACGAATTTAGTCACTGTTATTTTTTGACAGTGTGTAACAAACCGTAGAAGAAAAATCACCAACCTGTATTTTGATTCCTTTCAAATTGAATGGTTTTGGAATATCCTATCTTCCTTCTCTTCGCAACGTTTCTTTGTCTTTTCGTGTTCAGAATATTACCTTCAAGACTTTTCTTTTTACTTAATTCAAGCGGTCCTTTTGCCTTTCGTTGCGTCTCCAATGCACAAATTTATCGTGAGGGTGCATGCCTATCTAAGCTGAATTTATAGATTTTCCCGGTAGACGTCACACGTGTGATCAGGCCAATCACTGAGCGGCTATTGGTGATTGACACCCGAGGTTTAGCTCCACGTGGTTGATCATGACTTCCTGTTTAAGCAGACCGAAATCACCATCAAATCAATCTGGAGATCATAATTCTTTCATGCCACACATACGTACAACGTCAGCAAACGATTGACTTTAATTTTTCACCAAGTCTAAAATAAAATAGCGACAACCCAAGCATTGTTAATGGACTATTATTTTACGGCTGATTGCTTAACCAGCATCATGCTGCAATAGCCTTGCAGTATTGAGTCAGTTTTACTCTATAACTACTTATCAAATTTTAATTTCATTTTCTCTCTTCCCAATTAACGCGATCAGAAACGTTTTCTATTTGTCTTTCTTATCATATTGCGTTATATCCGTCATACTATTGACATTGTCTTAAGCGTCCGGCAATTAGCGAGACAGACGTCCACAAAACCCGACTCTATTCAGCCTATTCAAGCTGAACAAATTAGCGAAAATGATGAATGGAAAAGTCATTTTGTGATTGAATTGTTTGACACATTCACGTCATTAATTCAAGTGAATGAGGGTTTAATCTACATCATATCTTATATTTTTCATTTTACCATGACTCGCATCCTGTGGACGTGCGCAATGCCCGTACTTCAGATAAACCCCGTCTAAGATTTATGATCAATTTTGTCAGAGAAGGGGGCTCAGTTTATTTTTCATTACTGCAGTCTGACGCAATGGTCATCGTAAGTTAACCCCTTTCAATTACATTCGCATTCATCAGTTTATTTCATTCTTATTTTATTCTAATTATGACAAGTATCATTTCACCCTTTGTGCCTATGTTTTATCAACGGGAATGTTAAATAGTTCCCAGTTTCATATCCTTTTTCGGATTACAAATTCGTTCATATATTTTTCTCATATTTTGTACTACCTAGTCCCTTACGGAATAGCGAATCAGCTATGGATTGTTTCACGTAATCGATGTAGGTAATGTCTCACTTTATTCGTCAATGGCGGAATGCATGCTCAAGGTAAAAAACGCAATGGCCTAGCGGTGCGTATCCGTCCGGTGTTCATTATTGTGCGTTTGGCCCAATTCAGGCGAAAATTAAGACGGGCTAGCACTCATAGATCACAGGTAGAGTTGAATGCAACGCTGTTGGTATTCATGACTCATTGGGAACGATTTACTATTTCTCCACCTATATTGTTCCAATAAGTCACCTCATAAAGGCCGCGGTGAGGGATGCTGGTAAAAAGAGCTTAGCTGATTCACCGTCAATGAACAACATGATCCTCCTGGACAGACAAACTCAGTAGCAGACCTACTTTATTATTTTTATTTGAGATTTTATAAAATCGGTGTCTTAGGGCATTACTCAGATTGTTTGTCATGCGTAATAACTGTGTGTTATTACACCCAGTGTGAAGGAATCACAGATGAGCAGCCCAAATGGAAAAATGCCGATAGCAATGTAGGTAGTTGTTTTAATGCAACAAAAGCATCCTTGTTCGTGAATGCATTTTGACTGGAATGATGTCATATCTAAACCAAACGTCAAACAAAAAAGAGAACAATTCGAACGAATAATTCGGGGTCAATAGGCCCTTCTCTGTGAGGTGTGCCGACAAACCTGTTAACAATTGCAAATCAATGCCTTTACAATAGTCGTTACACCTTCAGCAATTATAGTACGTATTTCATTTACATAAGGTCCCTTCGTCACAAAGTCGTTCATTTAGTTTGCTGATTGTATATATAATTTGTATGAGACTGGCTTGAATGATAAGCTCAATTCCTTTTCGCTTCAATTCCATGAGGCAACCGCAGGAATTCACTCATATCTGGAAGATCCAAATCAAGACAAAGTTTATGACCGAAACTTAAGTTTAAACACATTTTTCTGTTCACTATTTATGAAAAGATATTCTCTTGTGTTTGTTTACCGTGTGATTACCGTCGGTCAGAATAATATTTTGTAACTTACTGTTTTTTTTTTTTTTTTTTT